CAAGAAGAAATCTTCAATTGCACAGTATTGCACAATGGATTTATAAGATCTTTGACCACATTTATTTTGTGTCAGAAACCTATATTATGTCAAAAATTTGATTACAATCCAAATTCAGACAGTATCAAGCTTGAATATTGTGTCCAAATTTGCCCCAAATGTTCAGGGTTCGACCTCTGCGGTCGTATCAGGCTGCGCTCAGCGAAGCATTTTATTCTCGTTTGAATTGATTATTGAAGGGTTTATTGTGTCCGGGTCTTCTATCGCGGACTATACGGTGTGGTGTGTGCTTATTGTTGATGTCCGTTTAGTGACCTCCACGTCAATTGGACTTTGTCTCATTGGAAATCATACCACATCTTCTTATGTCTATAATAGTTAGTAACCACACAAGATATTGAAGCCACATGACTCTACAGAGGACATCTGCAAGATTTGAAAAAAAAACAGTACAACAGATGTCAAGTTATGACAAAAGCTAATACAGCCAAAAGGTGATCTGGTAAATGAATACAAATAATCTCTAAATTAATTTTTAATGTTTTCGTGAAAATGAATAGTAGTCTCTAAACTCCTCCAACCATTTCTGGTGCACAATCCTTCTTTAATTCAGCTTCTGTTATCTTTGTGTAGGCCTCCGTTACTCATCCTGAAAAAAAACACAAATAATATTTTGTAAACATGACTTAGCAATTACGTAGAACGTCAAAGGCAGGGAATAAAATGTTATATAGGCCATTTTTTAAAAATAATTTACTGGTTTACATACATGTAATAGCGGATCCGTTTTAACCATTTTTTTTTCGCTCCTGTACACGACAATGTAGCAATGCCACCTATCTCGAGCACCACGATCTATTGTTCAAATGCTACCTATTTCGTGCACCACGATCTATTGTAACAATACCACCCATCTCAAGCACCAGGATCTATTGTAACAATGCCACCCATCTCGAGCACCAGGATCTATTGTAACAATGCCACCCATCTCGAGTACCAGGATCTATTGTTATAATGCCAACCATCTCGAGCACCAGGATCTATTGTTAAAATGCCACCTATCTCGAGCACCAGGATCTATTGTACAAATGCCACCTATTTTGAGCACCACGATCTATTGTAACAATGCCACCCATCTCGAGCACCAGGATCTATTGTAACAATGCCACCCATCTCGAGCACCAGGATCTATTGTAACAATGCCACCCATCTCGAGTACCAGGATCTATTGTTATAATGCCAACCATCTCGAGCACCAGGATCTATTGTTAAAATGCCACCTATCTCGAGCACCAGGATCTATTGTACAAATGCCACCTATTTTGAGCACCACGATCTATTGTAACAATGCCACCCATCTCGAGCACCAGGATCTATTGTAACAATGCCACCCATCTCGAGCACCAGGATCTATTGTAAAAATGCCACCTATCTCGAGCACCAGGATCTATTGTACAAATGCCATTCATTTCGAGCACCAGGATCTATTGTAACAATGCCACCCATCTCGAATACCAAGATCTATTGTAACAATGCCACCCATCTCGAGCACCAGGATCTATTGTTAAAATGCCACCTATCTTGAGCACCAGGATCTATTGTACAAATGCCATTCATTTCGAGCACCAGGATCTATTGTTAAAATGCCACCTATCTTGAGCACCAGGATCTATTGTACAAATGCCATTCATTTCGAGCACCAGGATCTATTGTAACAATGCCACCCATCCCGAATACCAAGATCTATTGTAACAATGCCACCCATCTCGGGCACCAGTATCTATTGTCAAAATGTCACCCATCTCGAACACCATGATCTATTGTAATAATATCACCTGTCTTATTGATTGCAGAGGTTATGTTTTAAATTTTATATGCATTTAAAAAAATATTAATCCAAATCAAATCAAATCAAATGTCTTTACTAGTATTCCTAATTGAGGGGCCCATATAGAGCATATAAATCAATTCAAATCACAAAGTTCACACAAACAACACAGGAAATCCAACATACATACTAATTATTGATAATCAAAAATGTTAAAAAAAAAATTAAAAATACATACCTTGACAGCTATCTTTTATCCTTAAATCTTTCTTCCCTAAGTTACTGATCTGTCCCTTTCCTAAGTTACTGTTCTGTCTCTAATACCTGTGCAAAAAATAAGAATAACATCGATCATCATCGCCAAGCAATATTTTAAATTTGTAAAATTCCATTGAAGAATAAAAAGAAATCATTAACAATTTCAGAGCATAGTTGACAATATTTAAAATAATGTGATAGTGGATGACGGGTTACAATTTTAGATAAAAAAAGGGGGAGATGATATTCTTACTTTGCAAAAGTTCCTTGTCTTTAACAAATCAGCGTTAAGAACTTAAATAAACTGTATGTAGGATCATGTAGGCTGAGTATGCTGTTTCCAGATTATAGTACATATCTATATAGAAGTGCAGTCATAAATTGGAACGTACATCAAAAAAGACGATGGACACACTGAAGTCATTAAATATATCTCTACAACATACAATATGGCGAGATTTTCAAAATATTACACGTTTGTGCATTTATAATCTCCCAACGTTAACATCACACAAGCATTGAAAGACAATTAATACAGCAACGGATAATAATTTAAGGAAACAATTTCTATGAATTATTCTTTGCTGAAAACAGTCCTAAATATTGTCCAGGAAAATTGTACAGTCTCCTGTGTTTGTATCACTCTTGATAATCGCTGCCGCGTTTGAAAAAGGCAGTCACACACGTGCGGAAATCATTAATCAGCATCATGTCACGTGATACTTTTATCAATAGATTATTGGGAGTGCTAATCCTCGTGTCTCTGCTGTGTATATGCCGCACTTTCTTCACATGCTGTGTCTTATCTATGATTAAAATATTTTCGGATAATAACAAATTAGTTAGTAGCATGTTTCGATGAATGATAATTTATACTTTTGTATACTTTTATGATTTTAATAAACGTTCGGGTTATACGTCGGTTTGAGCTTATATTTCTGTGGAAAATTACTGATTTTACTAGATATTGTACAAAAAATTAAAAAGGCAACCTTGATTACAATCTTCCATAGCAAAATCCTTATTTGTGAACTTTTGTTGCTGCAACAACAAACGATGTACAACTATAATGATTCCCCTTTAACACTGATGGTGAATAATTTTTTACATCTTTTTTTTCGACAAACTTCCATCGTCGACATATCAACCAACATTAAACGTTGAAACAACATATTTATTTCAACCTAACTTCAACATTAAAAATTCAACTAAAATTCAACGTTGAAACAACTTGCTTTCTGCAACATAACTTCGATGTTGCTGTTACAACGTTGAAGCAACGTCATGACAAAATATCAACCACATTTCAACGTTGAAATGACGTTGCGTGCCTGTTGAGTAGAGTTTTTAAAAGAAATTAGAAGGGCAGCTGCAGGTTCAATAAAACATGGCTATTGGTGTTCTGATGATCAGAATATTTATCAAAAATCAGTTGGTTTGTCTCAGCAATGTTGACTAATCTATTGGGATTTTGTTAAATCAATTGTCATTATTGTTTCTGGAATATTAGCATTTCTACTTCTGGTTTGTTTCGGGTTTGCATTTTACATGAGCAGTCATACAAATTGTAACCAAAATATCAGTGGATGACAATAACAATGCCAAACAATAATCAAAGACATAAACAATTTTTTTTCTTTAGAAACGTATTGAATGCATTGACTTTACAGATTGATCATATGTTGTTTCAAGGAAACAACTTTTTATGAAGTATTTTCTTACATTTCTGGTACTTGTTACTTGAGAGGGTACATCAAAATATTCTGATTTTTGGCAAAATAAATTTGTTATTTCATCAGGATGTGATCAAAATTGTCTTTAGTCCATGTTTCATCCATTTATTGCATAAACAATTGTTTAATTCTTTTCCAAATCACTTGTCAAGCATTGTATTTTTGTAATTTTTTTTCTTCTGCCATTGAAATATTTATACAAACCACAGACCATACTTGAACCAACTATGACCAAAATCCATATTCTTCCAAAATAACTACAGACCCAGGAATGATTCAGCTGACAGAAGAATAATTATCCCAAAAGTGAAAAATATGCATTCCTCAGGCTTTAATAGACATTTGGTTAGATTCCCTTAGTTAAATGTATATATTTCCATGTGAATATTTTTTTTAATGCTTTGTTTCAAAATATTGATTTAATTTGCTTAAAATTAGATTTCTATATCTTTTTAATGAGAAACATTCAAATTTTGATACAGCTATGTATTTGAAATTATCATGTGCATGATGTGAGTGATGAGAGTGATACCATTGAAATTTTAAAATTTTAGTTTCATTTTTGTGATTCACTTTTGTAATTATAAGACAAAAAATGTTCAATTTGAATCTGGTCTTTAATTGATTCACTGTATAAATTGCTAATTAAAATAAGAAAAGTAAACAAAAGACCAAACATGCACAAATAAAGCTCTGCAATGATATGGAATATATGCATAAGACATGTGACTGAATGCAGGATTTTATATAAAAAAGAGCAAATTATAATAATGCGATTATAACCTATAGTCAGTTACTTATTTCAACCAATTATTCAACAATATTTTGAGTTGCAGAACATAAACAATTATAGTGAATTTTGTGTTTTTCTCTTATTTCTTGCTTACATAACTCTATAATATGCACCCCTGTCTGGCTATTTTAATTTTTTGAGTAAAAGACCACTGACAAGACAAACTGAATTTCAGTACAGCAACACAACGCATTGTGCAGCCAACTTATCACTTCCTCTAACATTAGCTGATAACAATCAGCTTTCATTACAAGTTATGTTATTGACTAGTAGGTATAATAGAAGGATGACACATCAATGCACAAAGTACTAAGTGTACAGGAATTATCATCTTCTCATTTAGAATAAATGCTGGATGCTTTTTTATATACAACATATTTTTTTACAGACCAGGCTGTCAGATGGCAGAGATCTGGGATTTAGAAGACAGAAAGAACAGAGGAAAAGAACCACTTTGTAGTATTTTGCAAAGAGACCCAAAACCCTATTTTAAAACTGTGTTTAAAAATGCTGTATATTCAGTTCTAAAACTTATTTAGTTGAAATTCTATAATTTAGTTTTTAATATATTATAAGCATTCAAAAGAAATTCAGACCAAAACTAATTAAAATTCACAGCTGACATTATTACATTGTTTTTTGTTACTGGACAATTTCAGGGAAGGATATTAATCTTTTTATACATTATCCTAAATTTATTAATTGTTTTACAATACCAAACCAAAAATAAAAGAATAAAAGCTTAGATTTACTAGATAAAGTTGTTGAATTTATTTCTATAAAAGAAGCTTATAATTTGAATATATTTTACTTTAGAGAATACATTATCTAATCTGTTATTATTATGACAGAAATTTTAAATATGCAATACACCATTTGTAATATAAGTTTCATTTGTATTAGCTTTTTATCATGTTCTAATTCATTGAAGCATCATTTTCAAACTCAATCTTCTATGTGATTAAATTATCGATAAGATATTATTTTTTTATACGCCCGTTTACGGGACGTATTATGGTATACCGTTGACCGTCTGTCCTTCTGTCTGTCAGTCGTCAACTTGTCGGACATTAACTCAAAAACACTTTAACCAGTATGCATGAAACTTTGGTGAATTGTTTATATCTATTGACGTGAGCTCCCTTTCGTTTTTTATAAATTTCGGATTTACCGTTTCCGAGTTTTGGGGTTTTATTCATTAAAAAAGGGGGGATTTTCCAGTTTTTGGACAATAACTCAAAAAACAATTTCACCAATTTGCAAGAAACTTTGGTGAATTGTTTATTTCTATCAACATGAGCTCCCTTTTGATTTTTATACGACCACAAAAAAATTTTTGTGGTCGTATATTGGTATGAAGTTGGCGTCGTCGTCCGAAGACACATTGATTTTCGCACTCTAACTTTAGTTTAAGTGAATGGATCTCTATGAAATTTTACCACAAGGTTCAATACCACAAAAGGAAGGTTGGGATTGATTTGATGGGGGTTATGGTACCAACAGTAAAGGAATTTAAGGGGCCAAAAATAAGCATTTTTGTAACTTCCAGACATAACTTGTGTGTTAGTGTATGGATCTCTCTGACATTGTACCACAAGGTTCCATATCACAAAAGGAATGCTGGGATTGATTTTGGGGGTAATTGCCTCAAAATTTTAGGAATTAGGGGCCAAAAAAGGGGCAAAAAACAAGCATTTTTCTAGTTTCATGACAATAACTTGTGTGTAAGTGTATGGATCTTTCTGAAATTGTACTACAAGGTTCCATATCACAAAGGGAAAGCTGGAATTGAGTTTGGGGGTAATTGCCGAAACGTTAAGGAATTGGGGGGCCAAAAAGGGGCCAAAAAACACATTTTTCTAGTTTCCAGACAATAACTTGTGTTCAAGTATATGGATCTCTCTGAAATTGTACTGCAAGGTACCATACCACAAAGGGAAGGCTGGGATTGATGATGGGGGTAATTGCCTCAATATTTTAGGAATTAGGGGCCAAAAAGGGGCAAAAAACAAGCATTTTTTCTAGTTTCAGGACAATAACTTGTGTGTAAGTGTATGGATCTTTCTGAAATTGTACTACAAGGTTCCATATCACAAAGGGAAAGCTGGGTTTGAGTTTGGGGGTAATTGCCCTTAACGTTTAGGAATTTGGGGCCAAAAAACACATTTTTCTAGTTTCCAGACAATAACTTGTGTTCAAGTGTATGGATCTCTCTGAAATTGTACTGCAAGGTACCATACCACAAAGGGAAGGCTGGGATTGAGTTTGGGGGTGATGAATCATAAGGGGGTTCAAAAAATTTGGAGGGGGATTTTTTTTTTTCTTTTTTTTTCTTTTTTTCCTTTTTTTTTCTTTTAAAATTTTCCATTTTAAGTTGGTTATTTCTGATTTATATTTAAAAGCAAATAATAATGATATGGTAGGAGATACACACCAAACAGGATGTGTAAATTATTATATGATAAGTATTATGCAATAGCAAGAAATTTTCAATTGCACAGTATTGCACAATAGCAAGAAATCTTCAATTGCACAGTATTGCGCAATAGCAAGAAATATCCAATAGCACAATATTGCGCAATAGCAAGAAATTGTCAATTGTACAGTTTTGCGCATTAGCTAGAAATATTTAATTGCACAGTATTGTGCAAAAGAAGATACTTCATATAAATTGCTTATTTCTTGACCAATTTCAATGGGGTTTTATTCTTGAGGTTCTTTCATATGCTGAATCTAACCGTGTATTTAGTTTTTGGATTTTGGGCCTGGTTTTTAAATTGGTCCACATTGAGGTCCAAAGGGTCCAAAATTAAACTTTGTTTGATTTCATCAAAAATTGAATTATTGGGGTTCTTTGATATGCCGAATCTAACCGTGTATTTAGATTCTTAATTTTTGGTTCCGTTTTCAAATTGGTCTACATTTAGGTCAAAAGGGTCCAAAATTAAACTTAGTTTGATTTTAACAAAAATTGAATTCTTAGGGTTCTTTGATATGCTGAATCTAAACATGTATTTAGATTTTTGATTATGGGCCCAGTTTTCAAGTTGGTCCAAATCGAGGTCCAAAATTAAACTTTGTTTGATTTCAACAAAATTTGAATATATGGGGTTCTTTGATATGCTGAATCTAACCATGTATTTAGAATTTTGATTTTTGGGCCCCGTTATCAACTTTGTCCACATTGAGGTCAAAAGGGTCCAAAATTAAACTTTGTTTGATTTCATCAAAAATTGAATTCTTGGGGTTCTTTGATATGCTGAATCTAACCATGTATTTAGATTTTGGATATTAGACCATAATAGGTGAATGTCCAATTTAGAATTTTTAAGTTCTTAGACCACATTCATTCTGTGTCAGAAACCTATGCTGTGTCAAATATTTAATCACAATCCAAATGCAAATCTGTATCAAGCTTGAATGTTGTGTCCCTACTTGACCCAACTGTTCAGGGTTCGACCTCTGCGGTCGTATCAAGCTGCGCCCTGCGGAGCATTTTATTGGTTATTATCTTGAATAGTATTAATGATATAAAGATAAACTGTAAACAGCAAATATGTTCAGCAAAGTTAGATCTACAAATAAGTTTTATATGACCAAAATTGTCAATTGACCCCTTAAAGAGTTATTGCCCTTTAAGGACAATTTTACACAATTTGTTTATCATGTTTTCTAACTTTAAAAAATCTCCTCTGAAACCACTGAACTAATTCCAACCAAACTTAAGCTGAATGATCCTTAGGGTATCTAGAATAAAGTTTATGTTTTATTTTCTGTTTCGTCAAAAAACATGGCCACCATGGCTAAAAATAGAACATAGGGGTAAAATGCAGTTTTTGGCTAATATATCTCAAACACTTAAACAATTAGAGCAAATCTGATGAGAGGTTAAAATGTTCATTAGGCCAAGTTCTATCAGCCATGAAATTTTCAGATGAATCTAACAGTCCATTGTTGGGTTGCTGCCACTAAATTGGTAATTTTAAGGAATTTTGCAGTTTTTGGTTATTATCTTGAATATTATTAATGATAAAGATAAACTGTGAACAGCAAAAATGTTCAAGCAAAGTAAGATCTACAAATAAGTTAATATGACCAAAATTGTCAAATGTGTCCTTAAGGAGTTATTGCCCTTTAAAGACAATTTTTCACAATTTGTTCATCTAGTTTGCTTACTTTAAAAAATCTTCTCCTTTGAAACTGCTGAATCAATTTCAGCCAAACTTGGGCTGAATGAGTTTCAGAGTATCTAGTATAAATTTTGTATTTTATTTTCTTGTACGTCAAGAAACATAGCCACTATGGCTAAACTGGAACATAGGGGTAAAATTTATTTCCTTTCTTTTGAAGAAAATATGACAGATACAAAGATCATCTCAATGGAATTTTTAAGCCACTCATTAATATATATTAAAAAGCAAAAATAATCATTAATGAAAGATTTAAGCAAAAAATTACAGGTGAGCGATTCAGGCTCTTGAGAGCCTCATGTTAAAAGAGGTATGCCCCTTGAAAACTTTGTTAGTGCTCTCATTTGTACAATTCTTGGCTGATTTTTATTAAACTTTTATCATAGGTTTATATTAAAAATGTCTTGGACGAGTTTGAAAATCAGTGCTGGTCAATTATTTTTAAAAGAGTTATGCCCCTTGGAAACATTAATTTTATGAAAAATTGCATTGTTAGTGCTCTCATGTGTTCAATTCTTGCCAGATTTTTTATGAAACTTATATCATAGGTTTATATCAGCAATGTCTTGGACGAGTTCGAAAATCAGTGCCGATCAATTATTTTTAAAAGAGTTATTGGCCTTGGAAAAATTTATTATATGGAGAATTGCATTGTTAGTGCTCTCATATGTACAATTCTTGTCAGAATTTTAAGAAACTTAAATCATAGGTTTATATAAGCAATGTCTTGGACGAATTTGAAAATCAGTGCCGATCAATAATTTTTAAGAGAGTTATGCCCTTGGAAATATTAATTTTATGGAAAATTGCCTTATAAGCGCTCTAATGTGTACAATTCTTGCCAGATTTTTATGAAATTTATTTTATAGGTAAATATCATCAATGTACTTGAAGAGTTCAAAAATCAGTGCCGATCAATTATTTATAAAAGAGTAATGCCCCTTGAAAATATTGATTATATGGAAATTTGCAATGTCATGTGTTCAATTCATGCCAGAATTTTATGAAACTTATATCATAGGTTTATATCAGCAATATCTTTGACACTTTCGAATATAAGTTCTGATCAAATATTTTAACGAGTTATGCCCCTTGGAAATATAAATTATAATGGAAATCACATTGCATTTGCTCTGAAGCCTTCATTATGCCCCCGCTGTAGTGGAAGGGGCATTAAGTTTTTCCCTTGTATGTCTGTACGTCCGTCCGTACGTCCCAAAATTGGTTTCCGCTCTCTAACTTTAGTTTGCCTCAACCAAATGTCATGAAACTTATTCACAATGCTTATTACCACAAAAAACAGATCGAGTTTGAATTTTGGTGGCATCACTTTTACCGTTTGAGAGTTATGCCCCTTTTCAAATGGAAAAATTGCTGAATTTTTCGTTTCTGTTCTTTAGCTTTAGTTTGCCTCAACCAAATGTTATGAAACTTATCCACAATGTTTATTACCACAAAACACAGATCGAGTTTGAATTTTGGTGGCGTCACTTATACCTTTCTAGAGTTATGCCCCTTTACAAATGAAAAAATTGCTGATTTTTTGTTTCCGTTCTTTAGCTTTAGTTTGCCTCAACCAAATGTTATGAAACTTATCCACAATGTGTATTACCACAAAACACAGGTCAAGTTTGAATTTTGGTGGTCTCACTTTCACCGTTCTAAAGTTATGTCCCTTTACAAATGGAAAAATTTCTGAATTTTTCGTTTCTGTTCTCTAATTTAAGTTTATGTCAACTAAATGTTATGAAACTTATAAACAATGCTTATTACCACAAAACTCAGATCAAGTTCAAATTTGGGTAGTGTCACCTTTGCAGTTCTTGAGTTATGGCCCTTTATAACGTTATATGCAAGCGGGGGCATCATCTGTGTCCTATGGACACATTCACCATTTATTTCTCTTAAGATATTAATAAAAAGTTGTAAAGAACAAAAAAAAAGTGCTTTTTTTAGTTATTGCCCTTGCGCCTTGAATAGATAAAATATGTGCAATGCAGGGAACATTTTATTGAACTAGATATAGTGTTTTGATAATATTTCTTTTTTGCATTAAATATTAACAACGTTGTTTTATTTCACCACTTTTTAAAGTTTACCCAATCTTTTTTTGAATGATACATATTTCTGTATTGAATAGAAATTTTAATTTCTTCATTGAACCATTCTGCTTGTTTATATGTTTTCAATCTTTCAAATTTCATTGGTGCATGCTTGTCAGTAACTTGTTCAAAAAGTTCATACCATTTTTCGACAGCAAGATCAATATCATCTTCCATTTCAACAATATGAAATGGGTTTGAAGTATTTTCAGTATTTGTATATGATTTATGAATGTTAAGATGGCCAAAATCATCTTTGGACCCCTTATAGGAGTTATTGCCCTTGAAAGAAGCTTTACCCATTTTGTGTTTTTCAGCAGAATGATAATAGATAGATAGAAAATGTAAACAACAAAAATGATCAACAGGACAAGATCTACAAATAAAACAACATGAATTATGGCCCTAGAAATACAATTTTTCAACCATTTTCATGTTTTACCTAGGTAACTATAGCGGATAAAGACAAACTGTTTAAAGCGAAAAAAGCGAAAAAAGATCATCAGGACAAGATCTGCTAAAAGTCAACCTGACTGAAATTGTCAAATAACTCATGGTAGAAGTTATTGTCCTTGTATGAGAATTTTTTCCCATTTTTTTGTTTTTTTGCCAAAAACTATCAGAAATATTTTTGTTGCATTCTACCAATTAATTGCAAAAATGCCAGGTGAGAGATAGATTTACTTCCTTGGAAATGTAATGAAGTCATAATAATTTGACGTCACAATAACATGACGTCATAATATATATAAAAAAAAAGTAATTACTTTTATCAAACTGTAACTGTTTAGTACATTACACAACATAGGTAAAAAATAACAAAATTAATTTACAAAAATGCATCATTTAAATTTTCTTTCAAAAAAGCAAGGATTTGTATAGTACTAAACAAATCCTTGAAAAAAGTAAAACATTTTATATACAAATTAACACTAACAAAAACAGTCTTCACGATAAACTTTTAAATCTACAGGCCCGTAGCTCAATTTTTGGAAAATTATAGTTAGATCTTTTTGGGCTGTAGAGATGATTTTTACAGGCCTGAAAGCAATTTTACAAGCCTGGGCTGCTGGGCCTGTGGCTAAGCGTGAAGACTGCAAAAATATTAGCCAAAATACACACCATGACTTTCAGTGGTTGTCGTTTGTTGATTTGGTTCATAAGTGTTTCTCGTTTCTAGTTCTTTATATAGATTAGACCGTTGGTTTTCCTGTTTGAATGGTTTTACACTAGTCATTTTTGGGGCGCTTTATAGCTTGCTGTTGGGTGTGAGCCAAGGCTCCGTGTTGAAGGCCGTACTTTGACCTATAATGGTTTACTTTTACAAATTGTGACTTGGATGGAGAGTTGTCTCATTGGCACTCATACTACATCTTCTTATATCTATTATAGTATGATTGTAAGGTAGCCATGTCAGTCTTGCAGGGTTCTTCTGACCTTGACCTCATTTTAATGGTTCATTGGTCAATGTTAAGTTTTCATGGTTATGTCCGTTTCTCAGATACTATAAGCAGTAGGTCAACTATATTTGATGTATGGAATGATTGCATGGTGTACATGTTGTCTAGCAGGGTTTATCTGACCATGACATCATTTTTATGGTTCATTGGTCAATGTTCAGTTTTCATAATTAGGTCTGTGTCTCCTATGTTATAAGTAACAGGCAAACTATCTTTGGTGTATGGTATGAATATGTTACAGGCATTTTACAGTAAGGTTCTGGACTTTTTATAAATTGACTTATTTCCTCAGGCATTATTTTATAGAATGAAATGTTCACATAAACTGAGCTGTTGAAAGTATTAAACAACATAGCAGTGTTATCTTTGATAATTGCTGAATTTTAATGCTTGCATTTTACATGTTTTAAGACTTTTTATAGTAAAATATAAATTCTACTGAATTATTTAAAATTCCCACAATCGCTGAACTCGACAATTATTTGTTATTTCATAAATATTTGGATAGCAAGATCTGTTAAACATTTGTTCTTATTTTTGTGTCGCCTTAACG